CTCACTCTCGCTCCGTCTCTTTCTATCTCTCTTGCTCTTGCTGTGCGTTTGTTCCTCCTCTCTTTTACGTGCTCTACCATTCTTCTTTTCTTCTTTCGTCTTCTCTCACTTGCTCACACGCGCTTGCTGTCTCTCGTTTCCCCTTCCGCGCTCCTTCTCGCATCGTCCAGCGCCCCTCATCCCTCCCCTTTTCTCCGTTCTATAAGTCTTTTTCTATCCTTTCAGGTTTGTTCCCCTTAGAGTAAAAATCGTGTCTTTTTAACAACACGCGATTCTCTCGATCCATAGCGTCGTACGCCGGTTTTCGCCATCCGCGAAGCGTAACCTCTCTCGCGCCACCGAGATGGATCATTGAAGCCGTCTCTCTCTCTTTCGTCGTGCCTCGTATTTCGTCGTTCTTGTCGTTGTCATCGCTATCGTTCGTGGTCGGTCTCACACGCCACTTTGCTTCGCCGTACGAACTCGTCATTACTATGTGGTGGCGACGTATGCCTTACTCTCGATAACGGTTGAATCGCACAGGCGCTCCTTGCGACTAAAGTCCGTCACTATTTGGTTCGTTGCATTGTTTCTCTTCTCTTGGCTGTTCTCGCCACTCGGCCAGCTTGCAGGCTATTTTACATTTACAGGGCCTGTTCTCTGCTTTCAGATGTCTGCTGGGTCACAAATTCAGATGGCACCCCAAACAACCGTAAACTCTGGTCAGACAGTTCATAGTCAAGACTCGAACATGAGCACTGGTAAGTTCGATTTATTCGCTTAGAGATTGATACACAAATAGCAGAAATCCTGCTAGAAATGTCTGATTACTCTCTGCACGTCCTGGTCCTTTGAGCAACTTGCTTGCCTCGAGGATAAAGTTTTGTGCATCTGAGAAAGTTTTTTGAATGTGATTATTTGAAATCAACGTTAAAGTTTAAAGATATCTTCATTCTGACAATTGATTGTAATTCTGCAGGCTCATCGCATAGTGATAAGGAGGTGGATGCAAACACTCCAGAAAAAGTACCACGGACTACTTCTGAGAGGAAAAGAAAGCGTAAAGCTGACGATGGAGGTGGAGGTGTCGCAGGTGGCTCTGTAGCTAGTAAAGGCGCTAGATCAGTTGCTGCTCTTGATAATAAGAAGATCAATGAGTATTTTCCAAAGCATCATCTGGGTAATAGTCCTATTCGGCATGGTGGAGCCAAGAGTCCCTCCCCTCAACAGGGTTATCCTATGGTAAGATTAAGCATTAAGATTACAAGAATTATCTCAACTATAGCTTTATGACGCCTACATAACATATGTTTTCTTGCTAACAGTATCCGCCATCACCTCAACAGTTACTCTCGCCACAAGTAACAACACCTAATTCTTCGGTGGCGGAATTCTCTTCGTTGATGCAGCCACCAAGACCTCATCCTCAACCTCCACCACCTCCACCACCAGCTTCGTCGCAACCTGCAGGCTCAATGGTCAGCAAGCAGGTGCAGGTAAGGCCTACCAACCTCAATAGGACAAGCCAGGTCAGGCAAGCGAAGACTAACACCCCAAATGTAAGCAAAATTCGGTAATATCTGCAAACATTTTATAAGAAATGACCCATAATTTATATTAATATCTCTACTGCAATAGCCGGAAGTTTTGCGATAGGGATATGTAAGCGTCTTTCATTATTAGTCTGACAAAATATAACAGTTCTGCCATTGTACAATAAGCAGATAACAGCCAAGCTGTCATTGTTATTCTCAATCAACGATTGAAGAAATGTACTGATAAAGATATTGTCTAATAAAGATTTATTATTACCTTCAAAGATTTGTCTTTAGTTAATTTTTTGCACAGAAACAAAATGATAAGAGCAATAAAACTGGAAACAGAATAATATATTATTATTACAAAATTTAATTTTTTGTACCTAAGAATATTTTTTGTAACATTCTGTTTATTCATGTGAAATGTAGATAGATCTTTTATATGCCTACGATTGTGATCTCACGATGGGCATTTCTTGTCAAATGTTTGCAGTAAAATCAGCTAATTTTTTGGCAAATTGTAGCACTGTATACATTTGTTATTGTACAAATACAGGCTATCTTGTAGTGCCGTTGTGAGATATTTGTCTTAAGGATTTGACTACTGTCGAAAATAAAAAATTCTACTATTGCTCGAGCACAAACGAGCATTATTAAAGACATATTTTATTACTTTAATATATCGCACCTTTATTTCTTAGGATTCATTGAATATTGCATTTGAGTTCTAAGAAGTCCAATATTGTTTGACTGTTCCAGGATAAAATCTATTAAAAATTTTATTGGGGTTTTACACATATATAGACATTTGTATGAGAGCATTTTATACATGCGTACATTTTTGGTGTTTTTCTTGTTGCCTATGTGACCTTCAGTTTCATCAGTGTTTGTTCATGTTGCCTAAGTTTTGCTCAGTAGTTTATTTTCTACAAAAAGAAAGTCATGTGTTGTGAAATATAGAAATGATTACGTTATGTAATTATAAACAGATAGTTGTTAGAACACCAAACATAGACGTCGTATCTATGCAACTTTGTTTATACTTAAATTGTCTCTTACATTATACTCTTTCTGCATGTAGCAAGGTATCCAGTATTTTCGAGCAATGCTGACAAATGTATCAGATGTTACGGTAACATACTTCATTTATCGTAAAATTATACAAATTGCATTCCAGACAGAACTTACTTGCCAGAGGATACAGGAATTTGAAACCCAAGCCTCTTCAGACTTAGAACTACGTAATAATAAAATTGACGAGTTAAATAGGGTAAGTGCAATCGCGATTATGGAAGTTAGCTTATGCAAATCCTATCATTCTTACTTTAGATTGAATTACGCATAATATAAATATTATATAGGCGAGCTATGCTGTGTATCTTGACGATTGCAAATTAATCTAGATCTGTTCTTTGAACTTTTCAGACAACGGACGAACTTAGGCATCAAATGGCTAATCAACAGAAAGTGATTGAGCAGCACAAATCACATATAAATAAGTGTATAGACGTTGTAAAGAAGTTATTAAAAGAAAAATCAAACATAGAAAAAAAGGAGGCTAGGCAGAAGTGTATGCAAAATAGACTGAGGTTGGGCCAGTTTGTGACGCAAAGGGTAGGCGCGACATTTCAAGAGAACTGGACTGACGGTTACGCATTTCACGAGCTTGCGCGACGGCAAGAGGAGATAGCAACAGAGCGGGAAGAGATCGACAAGCAGAAGAAGCTGCTGCTCAAGAAGAGGCCGTCAAACAGCGAGACCGGCAGGAAACGTAGTCAACCGCAACCTTCCTTGCATAACGGCACTGAGGCGACATTTTTGAAACCAGATGCAGTACCTGGGTCGTATACGTGGCAGGAGTATTATGAAGCTGATGAAATACTTAAGGTACCATGACGCGATCATATTTTCCTTAGATATCCGATTTTTCTCCATTCTTAAGCGATAATGTGTTCTCAGTTGAGGCAAAGCGCGTTGAAAAAGGAAGACGCGGACTTGCAACTAGAAATGGAAAAACTCGAGAGGGAACGGAATTTACACATCAGAGAGTTAAAGCGTATTCACAACGAGGACCAATCGAGATTTAACTCTCATCCTGTTCTGAATGAGCGTTACCTCTTATTAATGTTATTAGGAAAAGGCGGTTTCAGTGAAGTGCATAAGGTAACGAAACATTCAAATTCCATCTATTGTTTTCGTTAACTGTATAAAAATTTACATAAACATAAATATACATATTTTATTTACTTGCTCTTATCTGTGTCACGTTTTTTTCTCGCCTTATAGGCATTTGACTTAAAAGAGCAACGGTACGTGGCTTGTAAGGTGCATCAATTAAATAAAGACTGGAAAGAAGATAAGAAGGCTAATTATATAAAGTAAGTTTCTTTAAATTTTTACTCCTATCGATATTAACTTGTTGATTATAATCGATAGTGTAGAGATGCTTTAATAACGACACGTTCTTGTTCTTCTTAAGAAGGGTGTTCTACCTATTCTTTTTTGTTACAACAGGCATGCATTGCGAGAATATAATATACACAAAGCATTGGATCATCCTCGAGTCGTAAAATTGTACGATGTATTTGAAATTGATGCCAATTCCTTTTGTACTGTTCTGGAATATTGTGATGGCCATGATTTAGATTTTTACCTCAAGCAGGTAAGCGTTTAATAATCGTTTCACATTCCTTTAATGGTAGCCGTAATATGTTTTTATTATTTTCAAACTATGTCTTCATTTCATTGCAGCATAAGACTATACCTGAAAGAGAAGCGAGATCTATTGTTATGCAAGTCGTATCGGCATTAAAGTACCTCAATGAAATAAAACCTCCAGTCATACATTATGACCTGAAGCCAGGTAAATATTATTATCTAATCATTTATTTTCGCGAATGTAAAGCCCCTTGCACAATGCCAGGCAACAGGCAATAGGAACAAGGAATAGAAATCAGCAATCATGTATAAATGCAGAATAAACAGTGACACAGGCAATAGACACAGAGTTTCCATCACGTTGGAAATTCTGTGCCTATTGCCTGTTGCCAACTAATCATAGCATTCGAATTTTTTAGGTTGTAATTAACGATTTTTTTGTTATTTCCTGTTCTTATTGCCTGTTGCCTGGCATTGTACAATGGGGTTTATAGTCATTCCCGAGGAATTTTATATCGAAGAAGATTATTTTTGTACGCAAGTGAGTATGATTTTATTGTTTGCTGCTCCTATTTGCAGGTAACATTTTATTAACCGAAGGCAACGTGTGCGGTGAAATAAAAATCACTGACTTCGGGTTGAGTAAAGTCATGGATGAGGAAAATTATAATCCAGATCACGGAATGGATCTAACGTCCCAAGGAGCGGGTACTTATTGGTACGTATCTCTCCTCTCGAATTATATTGTCATGTTAAGGAGGTTCGCCTATTAGTTGAAAGTCAACTTAGAGTCTTAATTTGTTTATATGATTTACATAAACACTTTATACAAATAATCTCAAAAGTTGAGCAATATTGACCGTATAGTTTTTTTGTAATATTATTCAGAAATTGACTACTTTGAGCTTATCGCCTCATGAGAAACGGTCGCTCTGAAGGTAAATGATCATTAGTACACTTAGCCAACTTAGGACTTTGAAAAACTAGCATTTGACAGATGAAACATCAAGGATTGCATAAAAACTTTAAAAATAGGATTTTACCGTGTGGGTTTAAAGCTTTATTGTCACAAAGTTTACTTTTACCTCGTGGATCGAATTAGTAATGTCAGACGTTGCCATTGGCAACGCAACAGCTGATGCGAACCCAACCTCACAAACAGTGTTTAACCACTAATTATGAATCCACGACACGCAATCATCAATGTATATCATTTCGAGTCTTTAGTATTCTCTGACAATTGTTCATATAGGTTTCTATAAATTATTTGTGATTTTTCTTTTACTTTATAATGTTAGATAATAAGTACCTGACAACGATTCTCGAGTCGTTGACACTGATACTTCGGCATATATTTGTTAATATTCTATATACTTCGGCATATATTTGTTAATTTTCTATATACTAATAATTTACGAAGCATATAACACGTAACTAGCATCTACAATTCATTATACTGCATATTGCATATAATTCGGAATTGCTGTAATGACATTATTATTCAATCGCATTTTTGACTCCAAAGTAGTAGGTGAACCTCCTTAAGGTTCCTAGTCCCTGAGACGAGAACCCCGCGTTGATGGTGGTGACGTAGTCGTAGCGGTAGAAATAAAAACTGTCCAATGGAGAATGCTGTCCTCTGTAACATGTTGACAACCCTATTTTGTCGTGCGTGCAATTTCTTTTTAATTCGCTCTGTACTTGTGTTATAATGTCAAACGTATTCGTGAAACTCATACAATTGACCGAAAAGTAAGATTTGCAAGGAATACATATGCGGAGAAACATTATCCACTCTTTTCGATAGTCGTCAAACGACTTGTTTTCCCGTATATTTAGGCTTCGTTTTATGGTTGTTTGTTTATTATCGAAGGAAAAGGATAATTTTCGGTCAATTTTGGAAGTGTTCTAAAACGATCTATAGTGATTTTTTTTTTATCGAAATGTCTTTATTTTTGAGAATGGCACACACGACAAAATAGGGTCATTTCTCGTCTCGATAACGAGAATTCAATATGGCCGCGATGACTACCCAGGAGTCATAATCATTAATTTTTAGTGGAGATAACAAACTTGTACTTTTGTACTTATTACAGGTATCTGCCTCCTGAATGCTTCGTCATTGGCAAAAATCCTCCTAAAATATCGTCTAAGGTTGACGTATGGAGCGTAGGAGTTATATTTTATCAATGTTTATACGGTAAAAAGGTAGCTATCGCGATATATCTATCACGAAATTTTGCTTATCGCGAATATAATTAAAACGTGCGCATTAAAAAAAATATTTTTGCAGCCTTTCGGTCACAATCAATCGCAAGCCACCATTTTAGAGGAGAATACGATACTAAAAGCCACTGAAGTCCAGTTCGCGAATAAACCAACCGTCAGCAACGAAGCAAAGGTAACTATCGCCAATGAGAAAGATGAGAATCGATGTTGCGAGCTATTTTGTGATGCGACGATTTGCTGTTGCAGAGTTTCATAAGAAGTTGCCTAGCGTATAGGAAGGAGGAGCGTATAGACGTACTGACACTAGCTAGACATGAATACCTGCAACCCCCAGTGCCAAAACATGGCCGCCAAGCGAACAGCCAGCAGCAGCAACAACAACAACAGATACAGCAGCAGCAGCAGAGCTCGTTCAATATCGGCATGTTTAGTGGTATGAATGCGTCGAGCAGTTCGTAGTGGAGAGGAAGGACTAAGGACAAAATCCTCGATATATACCAATACATGCCAAATCTTGAGCGCTCGGACTGTGTACACCATCTCATCTTAGGGAAATAACGATTGCTATAACCAATTGTAAATACTAAAACCGGATACTATCATCGTCACCACTTACCATCATCACCACTACTACCACCACCACCACCACTACCACCTATCACCATCACCACCACAATTATTACCACATTTACCACGGCCATCACCACACCATCACAACTATACTTACAGGATCAACTACATAGGACATTGCAAGAGAGATGCGAGACTGGTCACCCGCAAGTCCAGGAGCTTGCGTCTTTCTACAAACCACGCCACATTATTCAGCATGACAAGAAACAATGTTGTGTTCGTAAATATTCAATTGTATTATCGTTCCTTGTATCAAACAGTGCGATGACTTGATAATAGTGTTTAAAAGAGAGCGAGAGAGAACGAACGAGCGTGTGAACGAGAAAATAACATGTGATAAGTCATTACGAGATAAAAGTGACGTCTAGAATAAGAGGGAAGGGGGGGAAATAGGAGTATATGTGTGAGAGAGAGAAAGAGAGAGAGCAAGTAAAACAAATAAAACGAATAAAATGAAAATGAAAATTTTTTTGATGGAAGTAAAGTCGATGAGATAAAAAGAGCAACGAAGAACAGGAGAAAAAAAGAGGAAGAAGTCGAGAAAAGCAATCGACGCAATCACTTTCAACAGAGATGACGTTTCTCTCTCCTGGCGTTTTAGTGTGCGTGAGCGAACGTTAGAGGATTGTTAAAATTAGCGTGAGTGTATATATTTATACTATATATATAAATATATATATATATATATAAACTAATAAATTCGACATAATATATATATATATATATGGTGTAAAAAGGACAAGCATTGACAGTGGGAAGCAACTGTGGTGGCTCTATCCTCGCATGACCTCCGGCGCCGGTACCGGCATTCCATGAATGCTCGGCCTGTGCATCATGTTACTTTATTCGAATATTAACATTATTACTTGTATCATGATTAATAACGGTTAACACACGCGCATCCATGCCCACAAAACATGTACACCGACACGAGTACACGAAGGAGATTTGATTGGTTGTTCCTATTTTGAGACGAGAGTGGGCTTTATCTATAATGCCGGAACGATAGTCCGATAGAGAGCGAAGTGAAAATCGCATAGAGAGAACGAGAGAGAGCGAGCGCGTGCGTGCGTGCGTGCGTGCGTG